CCCCATTCCTCTTTTCTGCTCTATAATATGCCTTACAATGGCTGCCTCATGATGTACTAGAGTTCTCTGCACAAAGCCAAACATTTTGGTGGATTCCAATGACGACTTATTTCGTGCAGTCTTGCTAAGGAAACCAAACCGTCAGGGCAGTAAGAATGGAGTGCCCTGGGCTCCCCGGGCCGCTCTCCTACTGGGTGTGCTGTCTGCTTGCAGCCCACTCGCACCCCGCCCCGTACCCCCTCCAGTCCTCTGTGAACGGTCGGGACCGAGGCCACTGGCTCCAGCCGGCTCGCAGCTACCGATTACGTAACTGAGCCCATGAACCCAAATTAAAAGAGGAAACCATCCTCCTGCCGCTCAACTCGCCTAATCCCTGTCTCTGCCCTGGGCCCCCTGCTCGCCTCCAAAGGTCTTGAGCGCGGTACAGATTTCTAATTTCGTTTGCTTATGCAACCAAAAATATGATGGCCGCGTTTCCCGAGGGTGATGGAGTCTGTACTCCCCGCTCCAGGAGCGCTAAAAACGGCAGCGCAGCACCAAGGCGGGGGCGACGCGGGCGGAGCCGGGAGCCTGTAGACGGGCACCCGCGGTGCTCAGTGGTCTCCAGCTTACTCTTGATTCCCACTGCCGGCTGACCCTTGCGGTGCGGGACGCGGTGGGATGCATCTTTCACCAGCGTGTCCCACCCCCAACACCTGCTGGAAGACGTGTGTTACAACATGGTACATTTGGAAATAGGAGAAAAAGAAAAAAGGAAAGGAAATAGCACGCCTCTCAACAGGAGAGGGAGGTGTAGAATAGACACGGGATACCGAGTCGCTGATTTAAAAGAAAGTAGGGGAGATTGAGATGCGCTGACGTGGATCCGAATGTTAATTTTTTTTTAAGCAAGCAGAGGAAATACAGAGAATATGATTGTATCTGTGTCCAACACCGCCAATAAACGTAAAACAAGTCATTTTTTTTTTTTACGTTTTATTTCGGTGGTGTGTGTGTATGCCAAAGCATTCATGAGGAAGTCAAAGGACAGCATTGGGAATCCAGTTTGCTAATGACTGTCGGGAAGCTCCTGCTTGAGCCATCCCCCACCTGTAAACCCGGAAACCAAGTGAGGCATGCTTCTAGTCCCAGCAGCTGAGGCAGGAGCCTCGCAAGCTGAAGGCCTGCCTGAGCTGCCTAAAGACCTTGTCTTAAAACTAAAACAATCGAAAACAAAACACACACACACACACACACACAAACAAAACAAAACAAAACAAAAACTGCTTTAGTGGCAGAGCATTGTCTGGCATTCCCAGGCCTTGGGCTCCGTTTCCAGTGGTCCCTTCAAAAGAAGCGATAGTGAATTTTTTTTTAAACAAGGTCTCTTTACATAGGATAGGTCTGGTTGTCCAGCAGCTCACTTTGTAGACCACGTTGGCTTTAGATCCACAGAGCGATCCATCTGCCTCCACCTCCTGAGTATTAAAGGTGTGTGCCATCATGCCCAAATGATATAATGAATTATTAACATGGTAAATTATCCTGTGGGAACTAAGATGAGGGGTGGTGAGGATGAAATAAATCAGTTTTACTCTTCGTATGATTTCCATCAAAGAGCCTGTGTTTGTATGGTGTTTGCATAATTTTAAAGATTTATTTTTACAGTTAAGGGAGAAGAGGGAACACGGAGCTATCCCAACCTATTTATTCTCTGGAAGCAGTGGTTAGATTAAGAGTGGACTGGCAAAAAGAAAAAAAAAAAAGGCGGGGGGAAAAAGAGTGGACTGGCTGATGCTGGGCATAGTGGCGTGTGCCTTTAGTCCCAGCACTTGGAAGGCTGAGGCAGGTGGATCTCTCTGAGTTCTAGGCCAGCCTGGTCTACAGAGAGAGTTCCCTGACAGCCAGGGCAACACAGAGAAACCCTGTCTCAAAAATAAATAAATAAATAAATAAATAAATAATAATAGTGGATTGGCAGGAAGGCATGGGCTCTCCCTACCCCACCCCTACTCAAGGGGGTGTTCTAGGTCTCCTACCCATGAGGCTGCCTGGGTCCTGGGACTGGCTAGTATCTGACAGGACAGGTACAATGCTGAGAGGCAGAGGTTCAGTGTGGGGAGGTGCTTCCATCTCCCTCCTACATGCAGCTCTGGTTGAAGCAAAAAGCCAGTGACATTTCCTCTTTGAGCCCAAGATATCACCTGCCCTGGCATCTTGGCAGGGCCAGTGGAAGGAGGAGCCACGTCCCTCCCTGCTTCTTGGAGGCTTGGGGTAGGCTCTCAATGGTGTCCTTGGTACGGATGTCCCGGATATGGCCGGGGTTCCCTGCTGTCCCAGATGTAGGGAGCCAGAGGGAGCTTCCCAAGCTAGAGGTCCCAATGGCTGAGCTGAGCCTGTCTACACAACAGTGACCAACTTGGGGACACAACCTCATTGTGGGGGGGCATGGGTCACTGGGCCATCTCCCATGACACCGGAGACTTCCCTATTCCACCAAAGTGTTATCATTTCAGATCTGGTTCCGGTATCAAATAATCCCTGGAAGTCCCTCGCTGAGCTAACTTCACCTGGCCTCTTCACGTCAGACCTTCTCTGGAGGCTGGCTCTTCTGCGGAACTTCCTGAGCTAGGGGTATGGGGGCATAGGCACACAGGTGCGAATTCTGGAAAACTTTGGGCGAGCATGAGTAATTCAAGCTATGAGAAAAGCAGAGGCCAGCTCACCTGTGCGATATGGAAGGGCCCAGTCATCCTGCCAAAAGGCTGTGGGGTGGGGTGGCAGGCTTGCCAGAGCAGGTGTGTGGGGCCACCGTGACTATGGGCATAGGCATACACGTGCCTATGCCTAGGCACATGCCCTAGGAGACCCATACTCAAGGTCACACGCAAGCAGATGCAAGCGGATCTGCAGGAGCATGCACGCATCTTGGGGAAGTCTCTCCCTCACAAAAACAGAAGAGCAGCCACAGCGCAGGCAACATACCCACACAAACCCATACACCATACAAGCTTACACCTGAAATGGCAAGGAGGCAAATCACAAAGCCGTGCAAACGGACACACACACGGTCATAGTTTGGTGCCCAGGCAGGACATTGCATGCAACACCGACCTGTGCACACTGGGGCTCCCTCCAGATGCTGGGGCAAGGAGACAAGTGTGGAAATTCAGATAACATGGCTGCATCCCCACAGCGTGTCTAACGCTATGGAGACAGGACCCTGGAGTGGGGATGCAATCTTGGTTCCTAGGGGAGCTGGGGGACTCAGGAGCACGTGGCACACTTTCCAGGGGCATTTGTCCTTTGATGTTTTTATCCTCGTTATCTTCGGCGCTGGAATGTCTCACACTCACTGGGAAGTTTTCGTATTGCTACCACAAAGGGGGACGGGTGGTTGGATTAAGGGTATCCCTTGTTTGCCCCCATCGCAAACACACCAGTGTTTCCCCCTCCAACACATCAAGTTCCGTAGGAGCCAGCAAAACAGGTGGGGTAGAGCACCTGGCCCGCGCGTGTAAGGCCCTGGGGTTCCGTCCTCCATGCTACAAACCAGACAGCAGCAGCTGAGAAACAGCTGACAGGCCTCTGGAGAGAAGGGCTGACTGCTCCTGGCCGACGCTCTGGCTGCCCTTTCTCAGCTCCTGGCTGGTAGGAGACAAGTCAGTGGATTTCCAAATCTATTTAATCCCTGGGTTCTGACGCACCTGGTTCACCACCAAGCAGGATCTAGTGCCCACAGATCTGATGTCAGAGGGAGGGAGTGGCCTCTGCCGGCCCTGGCATCACTCCAGCCCTCCTGCCCATGTGGCAGCCTGGCAGAGCGACACAGAGGGAGAGACGCCCCAAAGCCTGGGCCTCTTGAATCTCAACCATTTGCTGGCCGGCCAACATCAGCACAGGCTAGAAAATGACAGTGGAAACCAGTAACACGCAAAAGCCATCAGGAGCTAACAAAGAGAGCCGAGTATGGAGACATAATCTTGTGTTTATCTTACAACAATGGCGATGTATTTAGGCACAGAGGGCACTTGGAAAAACTAACAGACTATCTGTGGAAAGTTATCATTCAACAAATATTTCTTGTCAGATTGGCTGAAGTTCTGGGCACACAGGACAGACAGAAACCCTTAGGGGGTTTAAATCCCAGAGAAGGTCCAGGTCATAGAATACGTGAGGTCAATGGACAGCAATTTAAATGGTGAAAAGGTATAAACAGGAAAAGCCACGGAGGGGCATGGCAGCTTGGGTGACGTGATTTTCTTTTTAAATTTGCTTTAAGAATATGTTTTCTAGCCGGGCGGTGGTGACGCACGCCTTTAATCCCAGCACTCGGGAGGCAGAGGCAGGCGGATCTCTGTGAGTTCGAGACCAGCCTGGTCTACAGAGCTAGTTCCAGGACAGGCTCCAAAACCACAGAGAAACCCTGTTTCGAAAAACCAAAAAAAAAAAGAATATGTTTTCTTTGTAGTTGTTGTGTGTGTGAGGTATGTGGGCATGCCCGTTCCTTGGTATGCCTCGGAAGGTCAGAGGGCAACACTGTCGAATTTATTCTTTCCTTCACCTTCCCAGGGGCTCCAGGGAAGGAACTCAGCCTGGCAGGCTGTCGTAAATGCTTCACCCTCGGAATCATCTAGCTTGCTCTTATTCAGCTTCTTTGAGACAGGCTTTCATGCTGTAGCCCGTGGTGGCCTCAAGCTCATCATCTGGCCTCTGCCTCTCGAGTACTTGATTATTGGTATGTTCCACCATACCCATCTCAGAGAGTGTGATTTACAAACGAACAAAAAAACAGAATGTGCCTTTAGGGTAGTTATAGATTCATAGATAAAGAGGAACACAGTAAAGACTTCCCCATACCCCTCCCCATCATTGTTTCTCCATTGATGACATCTTTCATTTATCGTTATGGAGATACATATATATATATCAGGGTTTCTCTGTAGTTTTAGAGCCTGTCCTGGAACTAGCTCTGTAGACCAGACTGACCTCAAACTCACAGAGATCCGCCTGCCTCTGCCTCCCTAGTGCTGGGATTAAAGGTGTATGCTGCCACCACCTGACTGATATATTTATATATATCAGAGTCTATGTAGCTTAAGCTGGTCTCAAACTCACCATCCTCCTGCCTCAGCTTCTGAGTTAGGGTATAGTGTCACCACATCCAGCAGTAATTATTAGCCACGGAAACTTCTAGAGTCCTTTCACCAGACCTTTGTTCTGCTAACCCCTTTCCGACCCAGGACCCTCCACACACCACATTCCATTCCATTGTCTCCCCTCTAGAGGCTTCTCTTGGCCAAAGCAGTTCTCACTTTGATGATTCTAGTGGTTTTGAGGGATCCCAGTCAGGTATTTTGTAGATGCCCTTAAACCAAAATGTGCCTGCTGGAAGCTGGGCGTGGCAGAACACCCCATAATTCCAGTATTTTAGAGATGGAGGCAGGAGAGTCAGAAGTTCAAGGCTATCCTCAGTTACACAGTGAGTTCAAAGTCAGCCAGGGCTACACAAAACCCTGTCTCAAAATATCAAAAAATACAATTAAAAAAAAATTTGTCTGCTGTTTCTTCACACGACTAAACCAGGGTTGTGAGCCCTGGGGAGCCAGGAGACAAAGGGGCAGCACCATTTTCTTCACACCTTGGTGCACAGTGCTAACTTGTTGCTGTTGACCTCGACCCTGGCTGGTAAGGTCTGTGTGAGGAGCCCCTGACATTCCGTGCCACGTGACCCCTGGGCTCTTCTCTCCCACTGATTGGTTATTCACTTACTGTCACAAGCTGGCGAATGTGTTTCGCCTCTGGGTTCTACAAGCCAGCCCTACCTGCTGTGCCGTGCAGCCGCTCCAGCACCGCTGGACACACCCACATTCGGGTGGCTCCTGTCTCTGATTCCTCCTTCCTTTCCGAGGCTTTGAGGTACTCTGCTCACATCTTGCCTATTTCCCATCCTGGTCTAAGAAGCAGCCTTTTCTCCAAGAAGCCATGGGTCCTCTCAGCACAGCATGGGTTAGAAAGCAAGATGTGGGCACTGCGAGCGATCAGCATGGAGGTCCAGAAGGAAGGAAGGCTGTCTGGAGAAGAACCCTCATGAAGAACTGAAGAAGGTGGCACTTGGGGGGAGGAGGCTCCAAGAGAGAACAGACAGTGCAAGGGCCCTGGGGCCGGTACATGGGTTCTGTCATCACAGAACAAAGCCAGTAGTAGCTGACCCAAATGAGTGGTATCGGAGATGAGTGGTATTGGAGATGGTAGAGGTGGGAAAAGGCCATCACAGAAGACTTCGGCTTTTCCTCTGAAGGACGGGGGACCAGGCAAATGGCATGATCTGACTCATTTCTTAATAAAATCAATCTGGCTGTGATGCCTGGAACTGAAGGAAAGGGGGAGAGCAGATGCTGCAGATGCTGCTGTGACCAGCTGGGACCAGGTGTGAAGCATGGCTCCTGGGGGAGCTGGAGGGATGGCTCAGTGGTAAGAGCATGTACCGCTCTTTCAGACTTGAGTTCCGAAAGCAACCAGCAACCACATCTCCCAACTGCCTGCCACTCCAGCTCTTGGCGGATCCAATGCTCCTGGCCACTTGGCACCTGCACATAATTAACATTAATCAAGATTTTTTTAAAAGAGGGGCCTCCATGTGAATACATGCTTTTTGTTATTATCTTCTCTTTTGAGACAGGTTGTTGCTCTGTAACCTTGACTAGCCTGGAATTCACGGTGTAGACCAGGCTGGCTTTGAATCTGATGACTGTTCTGCTTCTGCCTTCCAGGTGCTGGGATGAGAGGCGTGAGCCGCCACTCCGGGCTCCTCTGAACCCACACATGCTAAAGGCAGAGCCGAGGGCATTTGCTGGCAGAGACACCGGGTGAGCAATGAATGGATGACTCTGAGGGGTTTGCCTGGCTGTGTGGGAGGAGGTGGTTGTGGTTAGCCGGGCAGGGAGCCTTGTGAGCACACCAGGCAGTTTGGAGGGGCTGCCCTTCTGAGCACACCAGGCAGTTTGTGGGGGGGGGCTGCCCTTCTGAGCACACCAGGCAGTTTGGGGGCTGCCCTTCTGAGCACACCAGGCAGTTTGGGGGTTGCCCTTGTGAACACACCAGGCTTAAAAGGCTGATCACTAACCCAAGTGGAGATAGTGAGTTGGCAGAGAGAGGTGAGGGGAGCTGGCCCAGGCTGAGCAGGAGAGAGCGGGCTCAGGCTCTGTACCCCTGGTCCAGACATCGCTTTAGGCCTATAGCAGCTGCTCAGCCTGAGTCCAACCCAAGGAACCCACCTCAGCCACTAGGGCAGGGAAGTAGTCTGGAGGACAGCCAGTCCTTGACTGTGCTTCATACTCTGACAGGGTTTTGCGTGAACACTGGGTGCTCAGGCACGGGAATGTAGTGTACTAGGTCTTCCTTCCTAGGAAAAGATACGTCAGCGCAGGTCCTTCTACTGCTGAATGAAAAGATGAAGGGGTGAATGGATGAACAACTCTCTCTCCACTCCTAGGGCTCCCAGGATTGGCTCGGTTCTCCTCTAACAGACCAAAGCGGACTCATGTGTATGAAAGACAGGAAAGGAATTCCCTAGACCTCCGCCGATTGCATCTCCTCCTAGGTCTGCAAGTCTACCCTGCTTCCCTACCCTCTGTAAGGCAGAAACCTCCACCACGGCACCACTTGCTTACAACCTGGGCCTTTGTTCTTCTTGTCTCCTGTGCCCCAGAACATCCAGAGAGGGTTCTTGCTAGAGAAACACATTGGTGGCTGCGTGTGACGGGGGCACAGAAGCTGATGCAGAAGGAGCAAAAGTTCCTTGCTGCCTAGCCTGCACAGCAAGTTCAAAGCCAGGCTGGGTAACTTAGCTGAGACTCTATACCTCACAGGCAGAGTGCCCACCTTGTATGTGTGAGGCCCCGGGTTCAATGTCTAGCACTGTAATAAAAGATTAAGTAAAAAGCCCAGTCTCCCTTAAGCCCTTGGGACAGAGGCAAGGGCCTGTGAAGCCTCCCATCTAGGCAGTCTCCAGAGGGTTGATTCTCACCTCACCTCACTACAGTAGCCCCTGATGATGCTTACTGCCTCCCACGCACCCCCTCCACACTCGCCCCTCCCCCAAATGCAACAAACTCTTCAGACCATCAGGTTAACCAGTGTTAAATCCTGAGGTGCTGCTGCCCAGAGGCCTGGCTCTGCCTTGAGTTGCAGGTGCTCAGTGAGCCCTGTGATCTGGAGCCCTGCAAGACGGAGGCTGCAGGGTACAAGGAGCCCTGATGGAGGTTCTGGAGCACGCCGAGGGTGCCTAGAGGCTCTCTGGAAGATGCCATTGCTGGCCAGACGCTGGCCAGATTCTGGGCTGCCTGCTGGGGAAACAAGCTTTCTCTGTCCTGAGTTTGACCTACAAGCGAGAGTCAGAAAACAGCAAGGCTGGACTAGTTAGATACCTCTAAATGTATGATTTTTCCTTTCTTTTTTTTGCATTTTTGTGCCTTCTACTAAGAAAAAAAAAAAGAAGAAGAAGAAGCAAGCTCTCTTTTTAGAATGAAAACCAAAACCTAACATTGGGCTGTTCTGCGGCCACGCTGGTGAGAAATCAGCACTCCCTGAATGATCTGAGCTAAAGAGACATGCCTGTCCTATGGATCCGAGGGCAGAGGCTGGAGTGGGCCCAGTGATGCTCGCCACTGTTGCCAGGGGCTGGAACCCACCCCAGTGTCTGTCAACAGTAAAACGGATGGCTAAATTATGAGAGTCTCACAGTGACGAGCTCCCAGCAAGACCAGGGACCTTGAGTGGCCTGGGACTGCTCAAGACAGCATGGCTGGACCTCACAGGACACTGAGTGAAGCAAACACCACACTACACAGTAGGTACTGTGTAACGCCATGCCACATGGACGCGTGTTCAAAACTGACCACAGCCTATGGGGTGGCATGGGGCTCACCCTTAGAGCTGTCAGTGGGCTGGCTCCATGGGGCTCACCTGTAAGAGTTGTCAGTGAGAGGAGTTTTTGATGAGCTTTTTTGGTGGTGGTGAGTGCTGACTTGAGGGGTCCTTTTCGTTTGTTTTTGAGCCAAGGTTTCATGTAGTCCAGGTAGCCTCAAACTCTATATGTAGTCAAGGATGACACTGAACTTCAGTCTTCTACTTGTTATGCTAGGATCAAAGGCAAGCAAGCTCCATCAATGGTGCCAGAGATGGAACCCAGGGTTCACAAGCTAGGCCAGGACTCTACCAACTGAGCTACAATCCTATCCCCGTATCCTCTGCCCCGTGCTGTGTTTTGGTCTGGGTACTGGCCACATGGCTATGTTCACCTTGGGCTAAGTCCCTCTCTGTACATTATCTAATGGTTGGCCCGTGGGCTTTAATCCCACCCTCCGCCCCAAAGAAAGTTTTGTTTTTAAAAATAGAAGGCATACCTCCCCTACCCTGCGAGTCAAATCTTCCTCCCTTTTCTGCCCACGAGGAGGTAGGGAGTCATGCCTGCCTCCCTGGTGCATAGCCAGCTGACAGATTGCTGCCACTACAGCCTGTCCGTTTAGCCTTCCAGAGTGAGACCGGGGACTCTTGTTCCCATCTAGCCGAGAACACTTGCCTCTGGGGTCAACTCCATATCAGATCAGGCCTCTGGAGACTGGGCGGTCCCTCCCGGCTTTGACATTCTGGGCCTCCCTATCTCAGCTGGAGCAATCTGAGGACTGGCTTGGGAGAGCGAGATGCATGATCAGGTAACTGCGTTTGGGGGTTGCATGCTAAGGACCTCCACCTTCTGGTCTCTTCTGACTGGCAGAGGTACCTTAATTTAGGATACAGGGAAGCCCAGGAAGCCTGCCTTGACCTTGTGTGCCACCCCCAAAGGTCAGCTCTCTGGGATTCAAGTTCCCGTGGTGGCTGGGAGACCAGAAATCAATCCGACTGGTCTGCCAGGGAGGGGTGCGGATCCAGCGAGCTGCCCTCAGCAGCCTGGCACGGTTATTTATAACCGTGGGTCGCCTTACCTCCTGACCTTCAGCCCGGAGCAGCAGCGACCTGTGGCGATTAGCATCTCTCCCATCGCCCACTGCGAACAAACACCCCTCTGTGAGGTCTCCAGGAGGAGGGCCTGCCGGAAGCAGGATGTTGACTGTGCGTGGCTCCTCAGGGTGGATCCAGTCCCGTGTGTGTGTGTGTGTGTGTGTGTGTGTGTGTGTGTGTGTGTGTGTGAAGGGGGAGGTGCATCTGTGGGAAGGTGCTTCAGATACTCCTGTTGCCTCGCTTCCAGTCTTGCAAATGTTCTGGACTATTCTGGGCAGCAGCTTTATTTACAATATAGGACTCCCTAGCCTGGGTCTGCTCCTGCTCTGAGCCAGAGAGAATGACGCTGGCAGTAAGTTTGCAGATGCGACCCCCTGGTACCATACTGCGTTGAAGCCAGGTCACAACCATCACACAGAACTCCCAGACTTCCCCTGGCTTTTCCTCTTGGACCCCAGACCCCCACCAGTGGTCTGGGAGAGAGCTGGGCAGGGGACATCACCCAGTGTGGTCTTTCATTCAGCAGTTTTGTTGGGCCTCTACTAAGCGCCTCCCAGATGTTACTGCCTGTGGGAGGTTGGTGGAAAGTCCACAGGGGAGCCTAAGGTTGGGCGGTGGCAGAAGGTGTGAGACTTGGAGAAGGACATCAAGATGGAGGAGGGGCAGGAGGGAGGGTGTCTGGGGAGACAAGGCTGAGTAGTTGTCAAGGGCAGACAAGGCCAAGCTTAACATCACATTCTAAAGCCAGCGAAGGCTGTGGCTCAGGAGCAGGGCCTCCCCAGGATAACTTCCAATGACCTTGCCCCCAGCACAGAGGGTCAAAGTCTCACCCAGTGTCCCTCTGGGTGGTGGGCCTGAGAAGGCTGTGAAGAGGCCAGCTGAAGCTGGTTCTGCCTATCGAGAGGCTTGGGCACACTGTGATTGGAGGAAGACTGGATACTGTTCTGAGACCCTGTCTCACTGGACTGCTTTGGCTGACTTGGAGCTCTGCATGAGACCGGGCTGGCCTGTGCAGCCGAAGGGGAAGGGCAGCCACATCCAGCCTCTGGCACGACCTGCTCTGCTTACCCTCGCAGGGAAGACATCAACTGAAGGTGAAGAGTGTCTCAGCTCTTGCTGCCTGCGTCTGTGACCTAGTCACCTTCTAGACCAGAGGACCTGCGCTCTCCTCCCCACACCCTACCCTACCCCCACTACTCCCCACCCCTCCCCACATCCCTATCCCACCCCCACTACTCCACCCCTCCCCCATCCCTACCCTACTCCACTCCTGTCCCCCTCCTCACATTCTTCCCCCACTCCCACTCCTCCACCCCCACCCCCTCCCCACACCTCTACCCCACGCCCACTATTCTGCCCCTACCGGCCTCCCCACACCCACTCCTCCACCCCCATCCCCCTCTGGCTCAGCCCACACGTGTCTTTTGATCTAGGGAAGTTCAAGGGGACAGATCAGGGATAGACGCATGAGTGGCTGTGGCTGTGGCCAAGAAATCATTGCACAGTATAAAGAAATGGTCTGTGTGCTGGGCGTGTCCTTTGTGGGAGGTGCTGTCATGGGGGGCTGAGTGTAGGATCTTTGCGGGAGGAGGGCCTCAAGAGAGTGTGGGTAAGAGTATGGGTGTGGGCTGGAGTTACAGGAATGTCTTGGCAGGTGAGGCTGGGGGCTTTGGGCCCTGCAAGGGCCTTTCCCTCATGACCAGTGTGGGGCAAGTGGGCCCTGACCAGTCAATGAACTCAGGGTCTGGAAGAGTCAGCGGCTTTTCCACCTTTTTTGCCAAATGGGATGTCAGCATTGGGGCGGGGCGAGAGAGGGAAGGGGGGTGCAGGCAGGCAGGCAGACCAGGCTGGGAAGGTGGCAATGACTTCATGACAGCTGGCTGCTGAGCAGCTGGCTGAGGGGGTGGGGAGCTGGAGCCTGACCGGGCCAGGAAACCTGCCCCCTTGGCCACTGGTCAAGGCCAAGGTTACTGTTCCTTTCCAGACAGAGATAGGCAGCCTGACTTCAGTTCCCTTTCTGGGGCCTCCAGACTGCACACCGGCCACCCTGGGTAAGGACACCTGTCCCCACTTTACAGATAAGGAAACTGAGGCTCACTAAAGTTGTGAGACTGGGGAGGGGTGGCAGACGTCCCCTACTGCGCCACTGAAGACTGAATGCCTATGTGTGTGAGCACCAGGCTTTCTCTGAAACACACTCAAAGGAGCTTCTTCTTGGGGAGTGCCTCCACTTTCTACTGGGGGCAGGCAATTAACAGCAGTGTCCCCCAGCCCTGTAAAATGAATCTTGGGCCCCTCCCTACCGCAGGCCAGAATGCTGTTTTCCAGCCAAGACTTCATTGAGTGCTCCTCAGCAGGGCTGGTGGGACACCAGACCACAGACCTGGTGGGTGTGAACCTGGCCTTTGTACCCACAAGCTGAGATCAGCTTTGGGGGTGTTCTTTCTTCCCCCATTTACTAGTTTCCCATAAGAATAATAACTACCCTACATAACCTTTGTAGTTCATAAAGGGCTTTCACAGACATTGTCTGGTTCAGTGTTTACCCTCGCCTTGTCACAAGCAACTCATGCACCCATTTTATAGAATAAGAAACTGAAGTCAAAGAGGGAGGTTCTGGACGAGTCTCAGATCCCAGGGCCAGGAAGTAGCTGGTGCTCAGGCCTCTCTGACCCAGACATCTGCCTCAGCAGCACCTTTTCAGGGAGCTTGGCAGTCATGTGACTGAGACCCGGTCCTGCAGCCCACAGTGAGGAGTACAGCAGTCCTCAACACCTCCAGTGGGAATGTGTGAGCCTACTCCCTCCCCACTTGTCCTGTGCGGGGTGGGGAGAATGGCACAGGGAGGAGGCACAGGGAGACAAAGGTGACCCATGCTGAGAGCAGGCCCTGTGCTCAGGAGGGTCTCCCGGAACAGCACTGGCCCATGGTGGTATTAAGCTCTGGCCAAGGAGTGGACCAAGAGTCTGACAGCAACAGCGCCTGGAGCCAGCTGCTGCCCTGTGCGACCCTGTCTGCAGCTGGAGGAGAAAGGACAGTACAGTGAAGTGTGGGGTTTCTCAAGTTCCTCAGTAGGACACTGTCAGTCCCTCCTCCGGCCGTGAGTGCACTCAGCAGAAAAAGGGCGGTGCTGGTGGTAGAGCCCACTTGCTTTTTTAGAAATACTAGTGACCAGAGCAACTGCAAACACTGAGCACCAAAAGCCCCCCTTCCTTCCAGTGGCTCCTGGGAAACCTGTAATGGAGGAAGTTGTTTTATGTATGTGGCGGGGTGGTCCCCCTTTTCATTTATTTTTCAGACAGTCTCATTTTCTGAGATAGCACTGGCTGGCCGGGATCTTGGGATCCTCCTGTCTTAGCCTCCCAAGTTTGGGCACTATAGGTGCATCCTGCATAAAGGGATCTGGTTTTTATTGAGGAATGGTACCTGATTAGCTAGAAAACTAGGCCCTAAGGGATGGGGTTAGGATCATACCCCGCCTCACCCCTGCCACTGCAGAGAGTAGGCTTCCTTGGGGAACCTGAGCAAAAGGAACATTCTAGTAAGTGTACTGGTAATTCTGAGAAAAGTTTCAGGGCCAGTTCTCTATGCCATCTACCTTTGCCTCCTTTCTGACTGGGGGCTGGGAGGGAATGTTCCCTTAAACCTCTCAGCCATCCTGGGTTGTGGCTGCCTCCCCCAGATAATCCAGACCCTGCAAGGAGACATCATGGGTACGGCTGGCTGGCTGCCCCTCTGAGAGGGCATGTCCGTAATGCCGAGGCCAAATATAGAGGGAACCAGACACCTCATGGACCCAGGGCCCAGGGAGCCCCAAGGACTCCACGGTGCATGCCCCACCCCCGGCTTTTCTGAGCCTTGCAACCACCACCACCCCCAGCCTGGGCAAGCAGCCAGGAGACTGGCATCCCCTTTTCTGGCCCCAGCTCACTTGGGTACATGTCCCAACAAGTCCAAGCACAGCAGGAGGCTGGCTCAAGGGGGTGGGGGCAAAGTTTGCGCTGGGCGTGAGCGTGGGGACACCTTTCTAAGCCCTTTTACAAGCGTACCTTCCCAGAGGGCTCTCAGTACCGGGAGACCAAGAAACCACTCTGCCTTCTGTTCTTTAGCTTCCCCAGGAGACCAAGACCATAAAGTTGGGGTGCGGGAGACCAGAAAGCCAGGCCAAACCCCAATAAACTGCTGGCCAAATCGAACTGCAAATAATTAGTCCCAATTGCCTCCACCCTCCTCTCTGGGGAGGGACAAGTCAAAGGGCAGAGTTGCTGACGCAAATGTCAGGGGAGACATGTGGAGGCTTGAAACAGCTGGGCTCCTGCTCCCAGCGAGGTCACTGGAGCTCTGAACACTGTGTCCCCCAGGGAGGCTGGGAGAATTGTTCTCAGAGCCCTTGAGGTGAGGGGGCTTTTCCTTCCCAGTTCCAAGGTCATTAGAGCCAGATGGAGAAGGTTAATCAGACTCTTGGGGACAGCCCTCTGTCTCCTGTGAAGGGGATCCTGGCTCTAAACCCTCTTCTAGGTTGTCCATCCGGTGGGCATGCCTCGGCAGCTCCACCAAGTCTTTGCAAAGTGGTGACCCCCAGCGGCCAGAGCATGACTTCAATTTGGGCCTAGGCGGCTACCATTCAAACACTGCAGCCTCAGCCCCAGGCCAGGGAACCTTGGACACAGCAGGAGTAGCTTGGGGATTTGGCTTTGGTCAGGGATATTTACCAGGTCTTAATTTTTCCTCACTGAATTGTGGCTAGACCTCAGCTGAAATATCCCACTGTTAGCAGATCAGGGTCAGCATGTCTAAGGATGAACTCATCATCTCCTGGCCCCAATCCTGCTCCTCCTCCGGACTTCCCTGTTTCCATTAATAGCACTGCCACCACCCAGTCCCTGGAGCTCCAAACCTTGTCATCTTCAACCCCTCCTCTCTGGACTGGGCACCTGCCCTGCCGTTCCCTCCTCTGGTTAGTTGGTCTTTTGCAGAGCCGCTGGCGCGCTCAACAGCGCCACCCAGAGGCCAGGCCTGATCACATGACCCACCACCTGCTGACTTTGTGTCTTGGGGCAAGTCTCAGCCTTCTGGGC